GGGGGGGGGGGGGGGGGGAGGGGGGGGGACAATGTTCCTGTGGAAGGCGTCTTGGTGTTGTTCCTCTAACGTTGACAAAAAAAAAATAGGTCCTGGCTCCTACCCATTGATCGAGAGCCCTTCAGCGGACTCCAATTTATTGGTTGCGGGGAAAGGACGTGCGTGCAATGGGGTATAAATAGTCGACTCAGGCGAAGGACGCAACGTGCCACGACAGCAATCAAAACGAAGGACAGGTCGTCACGCGTGTAGATAAACCAATGTAGCACGGCACGACAAGGCGGAAGAGCACAAGACAAAAAAAAAAAAAACGAAACGAAAACGGGTTGTGAACCCATGAAGACAGCACAGCTTTATCCCGATGTCTCGAACAAAAAACGCTGGCGCAACAAAACGGCAGAACGTCATTCATTCACACGGGTTTCATCGCTTTTTTACCGCGCGTCGCAGCTGGGCTACTGAGGGCGAGGGAGCACGGCAGCGGAGTGACATAGGGGGCCCCGGTGTTGGGCTGCGGCGTTACGAAAACCCATCCCGCGGAGCAGAACCGAGCCAGATACCACCAACTCCTTCCATGTGGCCGCGGCATGTACCAAACACATGGGAATACCGCAGGTGACACATGATAGATTTCACGCACCCTGGAGCTCCATTTCTCCAAAGCAGGGAGATTGGCGACGCAGAAAGTGTCGGCGTTGGAACCATCTCGTCGATCACGTTTCCAAAACGCATCGTTTGGATCATACACGTTTTCTGTCGTGTAATACGGTACTTGGTCAACGAGCTCTGAAAATCGGTCCTGGGGGTGTGATGTCCTGCTGACGCTTATGGTATTCTATCGCGCCGGGCTTGCCGCGGCAAACACACCTACCGCGCCCCTGAGGCCGGCCTGAACTCCTGTTCCGGTCGCAATCCCGCCCGACCCGGACAAAACAACCCGGTTTCCCCGTCCCGTGGCGGTTCTCACCTCTTCCGCGGCGTGTTCCAGGGTTACCGCGGTGCCCTCCACCTTGAACCGGGCCACCCTGCGCCCGTGCCGCAGGCCGTACCGGTAGAGCACGGCCGTGATCGTCGTCGACGCCGTCTTGTGCGTCTTGACGAACACCAGGTTGCACTCCTGGCCGCGTTGCCTCTCCACCGCCGCGGCCACGAGGCCGTTCAGCCGCGCCCGCCGCTCCTCTCTCCTCGCCTGGTCAGCATCATTTAGCCCTCCTGCGGCGAGGAGACCATCTCCGTCTACCGCTCCTGCGACTACACCCCCCCCTACCCCCGGTCCCTGCTTTACATCATCTGCCGGGACCCCTCTGTCTCCGTCACCCTGTCCGTTGCCGCCGTGGCCCTTACCGCCGCCGTCGTTGCTGCTGTTGACCTCACCATCGTCATCGGTGTCATCATCCGAGGGAGCTGTCAGGGATTTCGGGGGTTTCCCCTCATTATCATCACTGCCACCTTCCCCCACCCCCGCCCCCTGCTGCTGTCCGTCGTTCCCCGCCGGCGGTGGTGGTGGAGGTAGTGGTCGGTCTAATGCTAGTAGTGGCAAAAAGACGTACAAATAAAGAGCAAGGGGGGGGGGGGCGAGGG